ATAATAAAATTATATTGAATATGATGACTATAAGCAACATTGCATGAATCTTACATGGATTTGGATGATAAAGGTTTTAATATAATTATTTGCTTAAAAATTTCTGATATTTTATAAAGAGAAAAATGTTTTGATTAAAAATATAAATAATAAACAACAAAATTAATTCTAGTCATATTTAATAATTTGAATATGACCAAGTTCTGTATAATTTTATTTACTTAGCATTCTTTGCTAACTAAATAAAATTATGCAGAACTTGAATATTAATGCATGGGTTGCACTTCCTTAGAAGCCTCATCTCATTGTTTATAAAACAAAAATATTAGTAATATCTGTTCTGTATAATTAGACTAAAGATCTTAAGTGTTTAAAATAACCTTGGATGAGAATTAGTTTTAAAAAGTCAGATAAAAATTGCTTTTTAAACTTAGCAAGAGAGAAAACCAATTTAACTTAAAATACTTTTCTAATAGCTTATTCAAAAGAAAATCAATTCAAAATAAATTGTTTTACCTTCTTACAGATCTTGTGAGTAAGCTGTTTTGTCCCATGTACTTTAAACAAAAACACATTTTGCATAATTATGATCATTTGTATGATTTTTTTTAAATATTAATTATGCAGGGCGACAAAGTTCAGAAACAGTCTGAATTGATGGATTAATGCTGCATTAATGCATTGTGTTCATTGCAATTTTGCACAGTATATTTGAATATATCATGTATTGTAATGAGAGGTAACATACTGCAATATAATATCAAAAAACCATTCATTATCTATATTTTCAGACATTATAGTCATCTTGTATTTTTGGCACATACTCTTTATTTCTATAAATAATTTTAGGTATATGCTGATGTGAATAATTTTAGTAAAAATTTATTAATGCATTTAAAAAACTTACAATGACTTTGATTTCAATTGTTGTTAAATAGATAAAGTCAAAGTTGCCAAATATTAAGTCAACTTCCATATTTTATGTTTTTCTGTTCAAAATAATTTTTAAAATACACTAAAGAAACTAGTTTCAGAGTCGCAGAATTTTTGCTATTTCTGTTTTCGTTAAAGATATTCATATTCCAGTAGTTCCTTTGATAATTTAAGTCCTAATTCCTATCCAATCAAAAAATTATTTAGATAAATAATTTATATTAATCAGAGACAAAGTAATTTAATTCATCGTTTTTGAAATGTATAAATTTATAGTTTTTTAAATTTATGAATCTGTTTTTTTAATTATAATTCGATCATATCTGTAAGGATCAAAAGAAATTTCTTAATATGCATTTTATTCGTTTCTTAATCCCATGCGGATTGCCCTCGAAAAGCCAGACACTGATGAGATAAACACTTGATAACGGCTATGACTCTTTCTAATACATCACACCATTGTTTTTTTTTCTAATTCTAATAGTCTCAGTTGCATTTGATTTACAGTAGTTTTATTTTTTAACATATTATTCAATTGTACCCACGATTTCACATTCATAGCTTCTGGATTTAACGCTGTGCTTGTTGAAGCTACGTAAATANCCAAAAATAAAAATTATATATTTTTTAAAAGTTTGGATGAATTTTATAGGATAAAGTTTATAAAACTTTATGCAGTGTAACTCAAAACACAAGCATTATTTCCTATTTTTGCTGAAACTAAGTATCAGATGTCTATCAATTTTAATATTATCATCAGAACTGAAATAAAATGCAAATAAATATTAAGTCAAAAAACAAAACAATTTAATGTAATTCAAGTTGTATATCTGCTCCACACTTTTGTTTATCAATATATCATAAATCTTTTTTCTATCACATATATGAAAGTATAATTTCAGTGGAAAAATCAACACTTAACATCCCAAAAGATATAAATTATCGTGTAAATGCCTTTATGCAATTTATGAAAATATTACCTTTTGAGGCCAAAATTATTGTTTTTTCCATATCTTTATTTATATGCTCATATATTTGTCAAGTTTTTTCACATTTTTAAGTATCTTTTACATGTGAAGTGGTTTTCATGTTTTGTTTTTTATGTATTCATGTATTTTTATGTGCCTTTTTTGATTTTGTATCTTATAAGCACATAAAAACAAAATAGCTAAGATGTATCCTCTAAGATAGTGGTTCTCAGCCTTCTTAATGCCATGACCCTTTAATACAGTTCCTCATGTTGTGGTGGCCCTCAACCATAAAATTATTTTTGTTGCTACTTCATAACTAATTTTGCTACTGTTATGAATCGTAATGTAAATATCTGATATGCAGGATGTATTTTCATTGTTACAAATTGAACATAAGTAAAGCATAGTGATTATTCACAAAAGCAACATGTAATTATATATTGTGAAATATTTATTTCTAATTACAAATAAATGAAATTTTGACTTTAAGCATGGTGTAGCATGGGTAACAGTTTTAATATAACAACAGTAAACTACATTGCTACATTTTGCGACAGATTGCGTAAAAGCTAATGTCAGTGTGAAGGTTGAGATTGCTTCTTTCTCACCAGATCAGAAATTCTCAGGGAAGTCTTTGAAAGAGCACAATGACGATTACCTTCCACAACAAGTCTACTTCTGTATTTAGAGTTGATAATCAACAAGCTGGAAAATCCTGTTTCACAAAGATATGTTGTTGGAAATGGAAGAAGGCACAACACAGTCTCAGACGGAACAGGATATGACTGCAAGCACTTGATCCAGAATTTTGTAACTAGCACTGTAGAGAAATCAGTTCTCTCTGCATCGCTGTTAATAAGTTCAATGAACTCCTCTTGTGCTGTCTCAGGAACATCTTCAACTTTGACTGTAAATGGGCTTCTGGCAAGTGCAAATGAGGTGTCAGGTAATTTGGGAAGTACGATGAAATTTCGTCTAAGCATGTACAAGTATTCTTTCACAGAAATTATCATCGTAATCCTTTTGTCTGGTTCAATGTCATGTTCCTCAAAGAAAGCAGATAAAGTAGGTAATGTAAATTTTATTTTCATCCAAACTTTTTTTTTCCAAAGCTGAAGTTTCATTTGGAATGATCAGATCTTTTCAGACAGATCAAGACATGTGGCATTTGGTCCTTGCAGTGATAAATTTAACTCATTCAAGATGGCAAAGATGTCAACCAAGTAAGCTATTTTCTGCAGTTCACTTTTATCGCTGAAAAGTGCTTCGAACTGCGGTCTTGTTTTCTGATTTAAAAACGTTTTGAGTTCATCACAAAGCTCAAAACATGTTTTAAAACTTTTGCTCTCAACAACCATCTCACTTCAGTGTGAAATAGCAGAGCATTGTTCAGCGCATCCAACTTGTTGCACAATTGCGAAAACAGTTGACTGTTTAAAGTGCTCGCCTTTACAAAATTGACAGAATTTATGATGCTTTTCATTACTTCTTGTAACTCTTGTGACAGTGTCTTGTTGCTAATATTTGCCGATGAATCATACAGCGAGTTCCAATGACTTTTGGTGACTCATTTAGTACCAAACATTGAAATCCAGATTGACATCCAAAGAGTGGCATCTCGGTTCCTAATACCACCAGAAATATGCGTTTTTGGATGGTCTTAGGCGACCCATGAAAGGATCATTTGACCTCCAAAGGGGTCGCAACCCAAGACATAAAAGATACATAAAAAAACATATTTTTACAAGGTTTTTATATGTTTCTTTTATGTTTTGTTAAATGGGGGTTAAGATCAATAGCTAACTGGCACTTTTTACTAAATAAATAAATATATGTATATCTACAGTTTTGAGCTAGTATTTGTCATCAAATTCATTTTTTGTATTTATTTATTTATTTTTAAATACTGGCTTCACACTAAAGCTATGAATGTTTTGCTCTATTAGCCGTGAAAATGTTTTCATAACTAATGGAACAAAATTAGCAAGCTTTTGATGAAATTTAACTGAACTGTTTGCTGGCAACTTCAAAACATTAATTTCCTATACCTTGAAAAATCCTTTTGTCACATTCATAGTATGGACAAAGATAAAGATCCATTCTTCCCCTGCAAGTAAATAGGCTTTAGGTAATAAAAAAAAACCAATAATAAATAAATCTAGTCATTGGAATTTTGGTTGCCCTTTAAAAAAAGCCATCCCTGTTTTAACACCATATCTGAATCCTATCCGTACCATAATGCCACTTCCTCCCATCCACCAACAATATAGTCTTAGGTTCATTCTTTAAATTATGCCAAAATATTTATAATTATCTGGGCCATCCAAATTAAGTTTCTTTTTACCACTCAAAATAATGAATTTACCATCTGTGACCATACTTTCTTTTCCAAATTGTTTCCTTGCTGCAATGTGATTATTTCTCAACTTGGGTTTGCTTTCAGTCTGTCCAGCTAAATCTACATCATTCATGCATTACTCTCTTCACTATAGATATATTAACAAAAAGTTGGAGAACAGCTAGAACTTTACTTGCAGAGCATCTGATTTCAAAAACTTGTCTAATAATCCTTGTTTTCTCTCAGAGTTAATTTCATAATCTTTCACTTAAATTCTTCTTTCTATAATAGGAACTCTTATTCTTTCATTTATAACATTATGAGATCTGTTAATTAAGGCTACTATCTCCCTGCAGGTTTTTTAGGAATGTTGGATCAAAATCCTATGAAGCTTTACTTCTGACAGTATAAACTTTTGTGTCTTTTACTCCAGTTAACTAACATGGATAAACCTAAGTTTAACTTGTAATGAGTTTGAGTATTATTTAAATGTAGTTTTTATTGTGTGAATTATAATTATTAATAAACTTTGGAACCTGACTAAAGTTTAAATCAGTATTTGTCATCACATTCATTTTTTTTTTTATATTTAATTACTTAAGACTAAATGAATTGTTTTGTTTCTTTACTATTGATACTTATTTGTGTTTCAATTCTGTCTATTATATTAAAATTTAATATACATCTAATGCTTAATTTTGATGAAAATAGGAAATAATACCTGTCCCTAAAGTTTTGAGTTGCACTCTATAAGAAGATATAATTAAACTATTTTATGAATAATCTTTCACTGGTAAAAATATTTTTAATTTTATCTCTTTAAATAACTTTCTACACTTTTTCTTGAATTAAATATACAGTCATTTACTCCAACTCCTTCGTAAGATGCTCCAAGTAAACTTAAATGTAATTTATTTGTTGTAATAAATTCATTCAATTTGTTAATGATAGAATAATGTCCTACTTTATACTGAGGAATGCAGTTCTAAAAAACAAAACAAATCATATTTAATAAATCTTAATGATTCATTGAATTATAAGAATTTAATATTCTTATCTAATTATTATGTTTGTTAATTCATTAATTATTAATTTAGATTAATTAAATTTAAAAAGGCCAAAACAAAAAAGGTAGAAAATCTGTGTTGCTATTCATACTACCAAATCATAATAGTCCAGTATATTTTGTTGCTATTGAAAATCAAACAATTCACTATATTATACTGGGTTAATATAGTGAATTGTTTGATTTTCAATAGGAACAAAATATTTATTGATATTCAGTTTATATAAAATATAATTTATATTCAAAATTTTGTACCTTATAAATAGTAACACAATGTCTCACTGGAGATTCTTTAATGCCAAGATGATTTTCAATTTCATTTTTTGCAGTATCTAAGAGCATATCAGAAGACACTTTATCTACATTACCAAAAAGATGACTGAACCAATGTCCTCCCATCATACACTAAAAAATAAATATTTATAATGCATTTTTATATTTGTTAAATATATCAAATTGAGATATATTACAGATTAATATCAATTATAATTCAGATTAAAAAGCTAACTTAATATTGTTAAAACTTTCTCTATTGAATTAATATGAAAAAAAAAAAAAAATGATGGTTATCAAGCTTCACTCATTTCAGTTCAAGTTTATTTTTTCAATTATGTTCTAGATAACTTGACCTCAATCTCAAATCTCATTTTTAAAATGCTACCGTGTTTCCCCGAAAATAAGACAGTGTCTTATATTAATTTTAGCTCTGAAAAATGCACTAGGTCTTATTTTCAGGGAATGTCTTATTTTTTCCAGGAAGAAGAATTCACATTTATTATTGAACAAAAAAATTCCCAAGTCAAACTTAGACAAGAGTGACGTATATCCGGTGTGTCGAACTGTCGCCTTTTAATAGCATCAACATCGGACTAGATGACCAATTAGTGCTTACTGAACCGTAGCACTATGCAAATGTCGTGTGGCGTAATTCCCGGCCGACCAATTAGCCATCACCAGCCGTAACGTTATGCAAATCTGTGATTCCCAAGCCATAGTCTTATGCAAATCATGCCGTGTGG